ACGTGATCAGATGGACCGTGAACCCATGGGAAGGGTAGGCTTAGCTCTCATGGTGAGAAATGCATCGCCGTCTACGAATGCAATCGCCGTCTTAGAGTTCGTTATCATCCGGTGGCCTTTGCCCGCCCTGGGCGACACAGACAGAGGGATTGCGCGATTAGTCGTACGTTGCTGTCGCGTACGACACGTTAGTATTGCGAGGTTTGGGGCATAGTTTGGTACAGCGCACGCACTGGGTCTGAGACTGGCGGTTTGAGCATTAGCATTGTTGAGATTTGCTGCAATTACAGCTGGCCCAATTGCCCAACGTGGTCCTACGACGTCGTGACGCTCGACCATGGGGGTCCATCGTTTGCAAAAAACTCTAATCCCCTACTCCTGTTGTAGCAAAGTGGCGACTATACCAACTCACTCCATGCTCCTCCCATGCACCGGTATCTTCCACCCTCTTTGCATTCCTTCGTCCATGCTTTCTTTCCGGTCGGACCGAATTCCACAGCGCTACGTTTCGCACTCCGCTGCCATCCCAGTGATGACCACGCCGAGTGATCAGGAACCGATCGCCGGGCTCTTCGAAATGGGGCACACTTCCCCTCCCTGGGCGCTTGGAGATGCAAAGGGTCTCGGCTTACGGGTTAGTCATGTGAGCATGGCAATCGTTCAGCGGACTTGCAGGTCGTCGCATCAACTATCGCGCTACTTCGCATGTGGTTGGTTCAGCTGACTAAGATGCATGCAGACTCTGATTGGCGGTTAAAAAGGCCGCTGACTCGTACTCGGCTGGCTTGTGCGGCACATGAAATCCCAGGCGGTGGTAGTTGTGCATCCCCGGATGCTCCCATTCGCTCCCTGGTTAGCTGCACAAATTATTATTGTTCAATATTGTACAGATATGGAATGTAACGCACGGCATGCAGCGGCAAGATGCGATGCGACATTTCTGCTGCGCAGCGACAACGGAACGGATGCTCATTTCGCAATCTACCCAGATATCATCTGATCCATAGCGACATCGGGACGGATGCTAATTGCTTCACTTCACTCCCATTGGTACGGAGTCTTCCTTGAACCGCTGAATCAGCGGAACTGCCCGGGCAGTGGGCAGAAAAAACCGCAGTATGTCCTTGTAACCACACTACGAGTTGCTTTTCCTGCACGCCATTGTGCGTCTTGCAGCGGCATACCTCAGCACGGCTTGAATTTCGGGACGTCGTGTGGCTGGCATGTGCATGCACCGTTACACCGGACGCGCGCGCCGTCGCTGCGCAAGGCTGCAAACGTCCAGCGTTGCACTTGAAAAGGACTCGTGATCCTAGTCTTTGACGGTTCGCGGTATCAATCGTGACGACGCCTTTTGCTTTTGAGCCTTGCGTTGTCGAGAACGCCTGACCCAATCATATCCGGCATGGCCAACTCGATCCTCGCGTACTTCAAAAGCCGCGGCTGGGGATGCGCATCGCGACGCGCGATCGCAAAGGCTGCAGTTGGGGAAGGGAATCGTATCCCGAGGCCAATAATTGCAGCCACAAACCAACCTTGCCGTCCAATCGCCGCGCATATGTGTGTAAAAGAAATAAGCAGAGATACATCGTAATCGTTCTCTTTGCGCGCGAATGCGAGCGGTGATCTACTGCAATCGGTGTGCCACAAGCGCAGCTCCGTTCCCTAGGATCCGGATGCGCGGATCGCCTTCTCCCGTTCAGGGTCCTATCGATACACGCCAGTAAAGCCTCTGGATCCTTCACCTTCCTGGGTATCATGCGCTGAGCCGAATCTTGTCCAAGCGATGGAGGTGCGGAAACGTTATGTTGTTCTGATCGGTGTACTCCGAATAAGAATTATTCCTGCATCTGGATTATCACTTCTGCTTTAGCTGCTGCGAGTCACCAGCCGACTGATGTGGCTGTGTGCCGGGTCATGTAATCTACGCTGCATATTCAGAGGCAAACGCGACTTCACTCCTACACATCCTCTCGGGAATGCACTGCCGTGTATTGATACTGTCGGAATTGTTTTTGGCGAACTTATTCCCGTCGTGTATTCCTTTGATCATGGTAGCATACGAGCCCAGGACAGTCATTGGGCCAGCGGCAAGATCGCCCGTCGAGTTCATGCACATATGGTAGCATTTGCTCTCTGGTATAGTGATTTCTTTTCAAGATTGACATAGGATAGAGCAATAGCCTGTTGGGCCCGAATTGTCGCAAGTTTACAACCATTACAGAAGATACGCAGAACGACGACACATCCTAGATTCCAACTCTCCAGCTTCAAGTCCGACTATACTCTCGCAATGGAACCCCGAAGCCAATCAAAGCAAGCCCACGAGAGGCGTCGCATATGCATACCGATTAAATCACTTTACCGTTCAAGTTCAAAAGCCAAGCTGCCAACAGTTCTCTTATGCAAGTCGCTGTCGTCATAGCGGTCTCGCCAATTCCATGCATCTCAATATCTCACTTTAACCACCCCGGACCACCACCTACACCAGATGTTTATTTCCTTACCCGGCCCTGCATCACCGTTACATATCCTCGGGCTCGATGCCGTCTCCCCGCTTACACACATCCGCGGAGACTACATCTGCGTAGCTGCATTACCATGCAGACGGGACGAAGCTTGAACGTGGCAGAATCTAGTGTTATGCAAGTACGGTTGATGCAAGGTTCAAAGAGGATGAGGGTGGCAAGAGACATAAAAACGAAGTACCTTCGATGCCCCGCTGTCCTCCCAATACCTCGTCAACTGACTTTCAGCCTCATCTCACACCAAACATACACATAGCCACATGCGTCTTACTCTGCAACTAACTCTTCAACCTTCTGAGCGACTTCGGTAAGTCAATCTAACTCTAGATGTACCACTTCCCGCCCATCTCCACTTGTCAAAGTCGCTTTTATCCGTTTTACCAGGACTGCGAAGGCTGCGTTCCGTTTTCCCTTTCTGATCATCAACATTCCCGCATCGTTCTTTCTCTCTATAACAATTGGAGCAAGGAACCCGTTGTAGCCGCGCCGCCGCGGAGAAGCTGATGCTTTGGATATGATGAATAACGTACGTCACGAAGATCAGCGCCATTGGGCGTAGCATTTTCTCCGTAGATGCGTAGTGATGACTTGCAGATATGTTCCGCGTCGCTTACCACGCGAGAATATATAGCAATAACCACGACATCTCCTTCGGCATCTTCGGCATCTTCGGCAAAGCCACTCTACACATCCCCCTTCCCGTCCATCTCCACTTACCACATTCGCCCTTGTCCGATGCACTAGGACCTGCAGTCACTACATCCTTTTTCCTCTTTCCGCTGAAGATTCTACGTCAATTTCACATGAATGCAGGAGGCTTCCGCTAGCCGAGCCGCCGGAAATAACTTCTAGACACTGGATATGACGCATCGCGGGCATGAACTGCTCGATGAGGCGTTTTTTCTTCATCCTTTACCTGCTTGACCACGTCGCTGGTGAGCATGCGGGCCAAGAGCGAGCGCATGGCGCGTAGATGGGGCATAGACACGGGCGGACTCGGGACAGGGGGGGGGGGATTCCTTGTAGAGGCTTTCACACGCAGCGTGGCTTGTCGAGCGAGTATAGACGGGTCGTCGTACGGAGATCCAGTGGTAGGGCTGTGGTGATGACTTGCAGATTTGCTCCGCGGCGTCGCTTAGCAAGCGAAGGTAGATGTGTGTTGCCGATTTGTACTGTCGCGTGCGTTTTGCATACATGCCTGGTCTTCGATGAGCTCAGCGTGGGAGTTGGGACTATTGCCGCGGAGCGCCCGTAAGCTGGGAATGTTGGGCTTGAGGAAAGGAAGTGCGACAGTGTTTGGTGAATGGATTGGTAGAGATGTACATGCAGAAGATATCTGCACGACGGTTTGCAGTATCTTGTTGTCGCTCTTAGCTATATGTATAGGGATTGAGACTACAAGAGAGCTTCCAATATACTCCTTCACGCCACGGCTCTACGTTCTTTTGACATCATACTATCTAGTGTGTTTGCGAAAAAAGACTATTCGTGTTCTTAGAGCTTCTACAAGTCGTATAGTCTGCTGCTCGTAGTGCTTGAGACCTGTATTTTAAGTAGAGAATTTACTCGAAAGGAGATCCACGGTTCCAAAAGAAGGAAAGGTCTTGAGCCTTTTGCAATTGCTCTTAACATTTTCATTCCACTACATATCCACACTTATATACACATCCACATACGTACGCCTAATTGACGCACTATCTACGATATCAATCCCCAAGTCTGGGTCAAAGGCGCACTCTATCGTTGTTGATTGATAACCAGTCAGTGTGGTTCAGCCCAGCAGCGAGGAGCTGCACCCAATTCTAATATTCGTAGTATACTGTTGCAAAAACGACAGACTCGATGAGTTTGGAAGAAGCCGATCCAGTGTAAAAGACGAGATAAGTTGCCCATGGATTCATTGGACGTTATCTTGTCGCTGTAACGCGCCTCTTCATCTACTGTACTATTGTGAGACGTAAAAGAGAAACATCAACGACTTCTCATAGCTTACCTCAGCTCACTTATCGACACCACAACCCCAGAAAGAGATTATTTAGTGATAACACCTACATCATGACCTTCATACCAAGACTCCCTCCACGACACCATACCATACCACAACAACTGCCACTCACCAAACTACAACATCACATTAAACGTCTTGACCTCACCCTGACGACAATAACCACAAAGATTGAAGCTTACACAACGCCGAAGCGCGTATCTATCCATTTATACAAAATCACACAACTATGCTCATTCTATTTACTCTTCTCATCATCCATTTCGATTCCATTCTCGCAACGTAAACATGCCATAACGCTGGAAATCTGCCAGAAGGCCAGATCGATGTCAAACACAACGGTAAACAGACTCAATAATGACAACCCACAAACGCCAGAGAAATGCAACTCGCTGCTAACAACCATGCCTTCGACCCCTTTCTTTTCTACTCCAATACCACCTTCAAATACCGCGGAGTCATCACAATCACGAAAACTCAACGCGACTCCCCCCCAACCTCGCCTGCTTAGCCTGCGCCCTTTCCGCTCTCCTTCTCCTCCTGTTGGAATCATAATTACTAAGATCCGTCTCAGTCCCATACACCGGACTACTCAGCACCGTATCCGCGGCAGCAGGAATAGGAGGCGGAGGAGGGAAATTAGCCTGATCAGGCGCTAGATGCTGTTGCTGGCCATTACCGAACATGGGAGGAGGACCCGGCGGAGGCGGAGGAATATTCGCTTCAGGCATGCGCAAGGTACTCGAACTAGGCATGGGCATAGGCGGAGGAGGATGAGCACCAGACTGTTGAGCCATTTCAGCGGCTTGAGCAGCTTCCATGGCTTCGGTTCTGCGCCAGCGGTCGCCGCCGACGCCGCTCATGGAACTTACGCTGCCGGCGCGGTTTTTGCGTTGGCGTTCTCGGCGGCGGGCTTCGCGTTCGGCGGCGGCTTCTTCTTCGTTGAGGCGGCGGAGGGTTACGTGGCGGCCGTCGTTGTGCATCTTGACTTTGACGGATACGGGAGGGGAGGCCACGTCGTCTCTGCTGCCGCGGCGTTCTCGCTTGGTGGGCGATCCGGCAGAAGTGACTGTGGCTGCCGCGGCTGCACCAGCAGGTATTATTGGTGCGTCTCCCGTGCGGCGTCGGCTGTGGTGACGGCCTCCGGGTGAGTCGTAAGCTTCGGAACCGGAATCTGACAAGACACTGTAGACACCGGCGCGAGGGGGGCGACTTGGGTTGGGCGTGACAGTAGAATCCATGGGTCGAGATGGGCGCTGCGCTACTGAGGGCGTGATACCGGTCATATCGCTCTCAGACAGAATGGTGGACGGCGGTCTATGGCCTCTCCTTGGAGGTGCTCCATCACCCGTGTACTTCTTGCGGCGTTGGCTGTTCATGCGGGCGACCCGTTCCTCTTCCAGATCTTGTTGTCTCATCTCTTCCACGCGGTCGTCTTCCTTCTTCTTGCTGCGCTTGCTGAGAGAATGCTTTAGGAAACCGACGACTCCCATGGTAGCAACACCCTCCTTTAGTCCATACTGCCGATCCCTAGGCCTCATTTCAGTTTCTTCGCTGAGGCTTGTCCGGCTATCGAAAGAGTCAATGGAGGTGACACTTCCAGTTGGGCGGTGACCAGGTCGCATAGCACTTCCAGACAAAGCCGATGCTTGTGGGTTGTCTCGACGCCAGTCGTTTCGACGGTTTGCTGGAGATTCGGGTGCCCTTCCTTCCTCGAGCCTAGAGATATCGGTCTGAGTGACCTCGGATGGTCCCAATGGGCGGCTGTAACTGAAGTCGCTCCCTGTCTCGGTCGGAGGATGTTTTGGTTTGCGATTGAATAGTTTCTTGACGGCGAAAATACCACCAGCTGCAGCCCCAACTCCTAGGAGCTTGTCCTTCCAAGTGGAACCTTTGTTGCCATCGGCGCGGTATTTCTCATCACTCAAGTACGATTCGGTGAACTCAGAGTCGGCGACGCGGGACCGAGAGTCGGGTCGGGAACTAAGGACTGTGCCACCATGCCTGCTGCGGGTGCGGCTTCGAGATCTTCTTGACCCCAGCGCGGCTAATCCTGCACCGGCTGCTCCCGCTGCTGCGAGCTTTCCAGCGCCAGGGCCTCTGCTCGTGCGTCGACTTATCCTGGTACTGTATGAGCGGTCGGTGATGTAGGTGCTACGGTCATCAAAGTCCATCTCGGGCTGGGTCCTGTAGGAGAGGACGAAGTAGAGGATTACTAAGATGAAAGTCCACACTGCGAAAAGGATGAACAAGGCCAGTGGTGACCCGTATAGTGTCAGGCCAAGTGGGATCTGAGCAAGTCCAAGCAGTGCAATAGTGCGGCCTAGCCATTGATGAACCTATAGAGTTAGTCTTCGCCATACTCGCGCATGTTGTTCACTCACCATAAGCTTAAGAGGGATCTTGAATCGCTCCTTGCCCTTTTCAAGTTTATGAATGAGAGCGCCACCAAGGAATTGAACCATAACAAGAGTGTATAGCGCAACGCCGATGCCGTGGTGAGGGTTGGTCAGAGATCTCTCGAGGCCAACAGCTTGGAAGCTGCAGACGATGGCAGCAGTCGAAAGAAGCACTGCTGCTACTTGCAACCAGATGTGGACTCGCAAGGCGGTTCGTGGGTTGCGATGGTAGAAGCGAGCCATGAAGATAGCTGCGGGTATTACGAATAGGAAAGCAATGACTGCTAATACGCCGTGGGCTGTGATGAGAGCCTTGTAGCTGGCCATGCTGCGGAAGCGGTTGCCCATACCTGAGTAGTCAGTCTCTGTAGTCTTTTTCAACAATGAAGATTCTTACCATTCAATCGCATCGTCTCAAAGTTGGGGGCTTGCAAGTTGGGCAGCAGAAAAGTGTTGCGCTGCGAGTCCCATGTGCCATCTCCGACATGCATCGTGGCCGAGTCGTAGACGCTCGACCCGGGGTCCGAGAGTTGGTTGGACATTTTCGCACAATGTTCCGTTTCGCGTTCAATGGCCAATTCCTTCAGAAACAGTCGTAAAGTAGGTGCGTAAGTCGTTAAACACACCAGGCTGACGGACGAGGTAACGACAGAAAACCGGATCCTCGCTAACAACGCAGGCAAGCAACAATACGTGGAAACAGAGAGTCGTAACGTCGTGACAGGCGTAAGAATAGCGAAAGTAGGCCGGAACGAGGTGGTAGTCGTGTATTCGTGTAGAGCGTGTCCGGTTGGACAGCTCGCGGTGGTGGGGGAACGTCAGCTCCTGGCGCCGTGCAATGGACTTCGTTGGGAAGAAGCGGTTTCCGTGACTGCAGGGAGCGAAAGTCTTCTCTGGGTGCTGCAGCTGCAGATGTCACGAAAGGATGGAATCGGTAGCCAGCTCAATTAGCTCGTCGAGGGCTCCACCAGCCGCATGTTTATGGGTGGAATGGCCTGGCAACGTAATCGATAGGTTGAAGGGCGGTGAGTGGCTGGGGCCGGCCAACCACAGCCCGCCGCACCCCTGCACCCAGCCGCCCAGATTCTGAGACGACTCGAATTTCTGGTTTCCGAGGCCGATTGATTAGCTCGGCACGCTGCTGGCCGCTGCTCTTGGGCGTGCATGCGCTGGCAGTGAGGCGAACCGTCACTAGGCCTTAGGGGACATGCTCAAGCACCGTGTTCGCAGGTGCATGGCCACGAATGAGAAGACGGGTCAACACGAGTCGATTGCGCAGAGAAAAAGTCGTTTCAAGCAGTGGTATCTCGAGTCCGTGACGCCGTAACAAGCCCAACACACGCTCACCGCAAGGACGTCATCCCTCAACATCCAACATGTCCCTTAGCGCCTTTTCAGACGCTCGGAGCCATCTGCCTCTCTCTTCTAGTTCATCTCCGATTCCACCGCCCTCTTCCTTCCGTCTCCGGGCCTCTCTAGCTGCCGCCACGGTTCCCTGTTTCTGAGTCTCCAGCGGCCTCAGCTCACGCTCCAGCTTCTCCAAGTCTCTGGTTCGGTTCGGGATGGTAGCCTGCAGACTTGCGATCTGCGCATTCAGGGCTGCGAGCTCCGCCTCCCGTTCGCTGAGCACTCGCTGAGTTTCTGGAAGTGGGAGAGACAGCTCAGGGTTCGTCGAGACTGGTGTTTGCTCGTGCTTTAGCTGCTCAATGGTCGCTTCCAGGCCTGCAGTTTCAGCCGGAAGTGACTCGAGCTGTTGCGTGCGTAGTTGAAGACCCTCATAGCGCAGTGCGAGCTCTTTTCCCTTGTCCTCCAGCTGCTTCAGAATCTCGGCTACCTCCAACTTGCGCTCCTTGAGCTCTGCCTTGAGACCCAGTATCTCCTTTTCCTTCTCGTCGTTCTCGTGAGCGTCGACCAGGCGGGGTGGGTTTTCCGTTATGCTGCGCAGGAACTTCTCCTTGGTGACCTGCTCGACGTAGCTGAAGCGTAGCTTGCTGAAGAGTTCCTGCAACAATGTTAGGCCTGTATCTCTCTCATGACATTTTGAAGACGCATGCTTTATAATGTAATAGATCAGCCTCAAGGGCAGCCGGATGAGTGTCGCCATTCTGCTCGCTGTCCTCCGACGCCGCCGAATTGCGCTTCTTCGCGGCCTGTGGGAGATCCTTTGGCGACAGTGTTTCCGCAATAGCCAGGAGCTTGAGTGACTTTGACTGCTGCAATTGTTCCAACACTGCGGCTGGTGTTGGCGCTGCCGATTTTCGCTTGGGTCCCATTGTGTCTGTTGTAAATGAATTGGAGGATTGAATGTTTGTTTGGGATCGCGAATGCCCGCGTAGGGCTGAGTTCCCCGCGGCGACTACCGCATGCAGCTAGCACGGCCCGCCGCGTGGAATGATTTCACATGGCCGCCCGGGATCTCGCAAGGTCAGACTTCTGCGACCCTTCATCTCCACCCCAACAACAGTCGCCCACCATGGCGAGGGACCTAGACGACGACGCGTACATTGCAGAGCTGCTGAAAGAGGATGCAAAGAATGCGACGAAGAAATACGAGCTCGTTGGCATCGATGCCTTCAATCCGAGGTGCGTCATGAGCCTCCGTACACGCTGTGCAGTCGCATGAGCGTTGAAAGTACATGAGCACTCCATTATGAGACTGCTCGTGCTAATATACTATAGGATGAAGTCTCGTGCACCTAGACCGAACAAGGGCTTCCTGCAACACCTCATCCGACAGACTGACAGCCACAACTCTGCGCTCCTTGCTAAAGAGGCTGCCGAGTCTCGCGCCCGACTCAGGATGATGGATCGGGAGAAACGACAGGCGGCAGGCCAAGGGGATGCACGGGCGCCAGGCCGATGCGATGTCGAAAGCGCAGGCAACCAGGGACGGTTGGCGCCATCAGAAAGCGACATCGACCGATACCAAGCAGAGTCAAGCAGACGACAAGATCGCGGCAAGGATGAGGATAGACATGGGAGGAGGCGCGGAGAAACAGAGGCAGATGGTTCGACGACTCCGATGTCTCGCCGGCATCGCGACCGAAGCAGAGATGGACACCGGCACAAGAGGAGACATGATAGCGAGGAGGAAGACCATTCCAAACGGAAACGGAGACGATCAAGGTCGCCCCGAGACAAATCGCGTAAAGACAAATATGGCAAAGAGCAAGAACGCTACAAGCCCCGGGGAAGAGACCACAAAGATCGCGAGCACGCACGGCGCATGTCGCACTGGCGAATATCTTCACGGTCACGATCACGATCACGATCACCTCATTCCTCAAAGCACAGAAAACACAGCCGACACCGAGACCGGACTCGCTCCCGAAGCCCAAAACGCAGATCCACCACCACCCAACCACCTAAACCCAGCCGCCACAACACCAAACGCTCCCCCTCCCCAGCATCCTCCTCCTCCGACCCCCTCGAAGCCATCGTCGGCCCCCTCCCTCCCCCGCGCTCACCGCCCGTCCGCTCCAAAGGCCGCAACGCGTACAAACCGCAAAACGGCGGCATCGAATCGCGCTTCTCCTCCACGTACGATCCCACCACGGACGTGCGCCCGGCATCTGACGTAGAAGACGACTGGGGCGACGCACTAGAGGCACTGCGTGACCGAGCGCGCTGGCAGCAACAGGGCGCCGATCGACTTAAGCAAGCTGGGTTTACGGATGATCAGGTAAGGAAATGGGAGAGAGGGGATGTGCAGGGGGAGGAGGACGTGGTGTGGAGGAAGAAGGGGGAGGGGCGGGAGTGGGATAGGGGTAAGGTTGTTGATGAGGAGGGGGATGTGGAGGTTAGGGCTGATTTTGGGAGGTTGAAGTGATGATGAGAATGGATCCATTTTGCAGGAAAAAAATAATTGGTATTGCAAGACGAGATACACTGTCTCTCACATCCCAGTTCCCTGCTCTACTCCACTCATCCCACTCAATCCACCCTACTCATTCTACCCATCCTACTCACTCCCAATGCCTCCCCACCAAACCCACCTCCCTCCCATCCACATCCCCACCCTTCCACCTCCCCTCCTCATAACTCGCACTATCCGAACCCCTATCCGAATCCGTATCCGGAAAACTCAAATCACTCCGCAGAGTCTCGACGTCCGCCTTATCGCCTACGACTGTTGTGTCGTCGTCGCCGAAGGAGTAGCGTGGGTTGCGGGGAGGGAGGCGTGTGGGGCGGGAGCTTGAGGCATTGTTGTTGATGTCGGTGGGGTGGGTGTTGTAGTTGGTGGTGTAAGGGTTGGGGTTGTGTTGGGGTATTGGAATCTTGGGAGGTGGTGGTGGCGGTAGTGCGCGTCCAGTGTACGTATCCGGATAACGATGATGAATACCCTGGGGTGAGCGCGGGAGAACATCCAACTCAACAGGATACGTCGGGTACGCTGTCATACCATTATGACTCGTATCCGGCATCCTCGCTGGCATATTATCAAGCTCAACCACCCTCCTCCTCTCTACCCCCTGCCCAACCCGTCCAACCTCCTCATTCGAGCTCGAGAACCCCGACCACAACCTCGGTACCGGATGCCCCACCCCATCATCCCCATCATCCCCATCATTCCCATTCCGCCTTAGCACATCATCCAGAGGACCACTGATAGTAAGCTGCTTTTCTGCTTGCTCCTCCTCCGGCGTTCCGCTTGTGCCGTCCAGGAAATTTCTTTTATGAGGGTTCCTGATGAGGAAGGTTGTTATGAAGACGAGGGCGAGGGAACCGAGGAGGGCGCTGATGGCGAGGGATGCGGGTTCGATGGCAGGGTGATGTGGGGAGGGGAGGAGGGAGGGAGGGGGTAAGAGCCAGAGAGTGGGTAGGGGGGTGGGTGGTGTGGAGGACATGGTGGAGATTGTGATACTACTAGTGTATTAGGGTGGTAGAGGGATATCAAAGCTGCCGAAATTGTATGTACGGAAGAGGTAGTAGGAAATGTATGTATACCCCTCAGCAATGACTATTCACAAACGCCGTGACATGCACTTCACATAATCGTCCCCAGACATCCCCCTTCACAGCATCAACCACTTTTGACAGCACGCTGGCCAACCGCCGTAGCCTCGACATCCTCCTGCAACGTCCTTGTCTGCGTTTCTTCAGACGCCTTCCCACTACCTTTGCGCTTTCTCAATTCTGCCATGGAGATGGGTGGTTTCGCCTTCCTCACCTTCTCGTCAGACGAACTCATCTTGCGCATCTCGGATTCCAACTTCATCGCCAACCTTTGTAGCAGCCACTGCGGCTCAGACTGATTGCCCATGAGCGGACTCCTTATCCCCAGCCAACTCCAAGCACGCTTCTTCCCATCGTCCGCAGAGCCGATATCAGGAGCTTCGCCATCATCGTGCTTATGCGGAGTGTTGGCTTTGGGCTGGCGGTGGTGCGAAGGATCGTTTTCGTCCTGGCCGATTAGACGCAGGTAGTACTGCCACTCGTGGTACTCGTATTGTTTTGACGATGAGCTTTCGACGTCTTTCATCAGTTTACGGACTTCTTTTGCGAGGACAAAGTGGTAGAAGCGGATGTCGCGTTCGAGATAGTCGCCGTGTTCGCCGGCCTCTTCCGCTTTGCCTAGCTCTTCTTCTTCTATGTAGGCTGCTAATCTGTCTTCTGTGCGGTTTTCTGTAGGACCGGCAGAGTTGCTGCGGTAGCCTGCCTTTTCGTTTTCGCCAATCTTGCCGGATTTGATGCGCGTCCATCCGACTTTGAGTGCGGCGCTGAGCCCTTCCTCGTCTGGTAGGACGGTGAGCGAACCGAGCCAGATGGTGAAGTCCTTGAAGGCTTTGATGACTGTGTCGCCCATGTTAGAGATGAGAATGGTTAGTGTGGGGACGGCGAGGAGGCTCCAGAAGACCATGAAGGCTTTTCCGGCATTGCTTTCGACAACGTAGTCTCCGTACCCGATCGTTAAGAGCGAGACGTAGGCGTAGTAGAGGGCGACGAAGTAGCTGAATCCTTGCGGCTTTTCGGAGTACATGAATACTAGAGCGCCTAGGAACCATAGTAGCATTGCTGCTGTGGTTGATAGGGCTAACGCGGTGTATCGCCTCTTGCGCTCGGATAGTGTTTGCACGCGGCGCATGATGTGGAACTCTTGCTCTCGTCTCTGTGCTTCTGTCAAACCTTTCGAGGAGAACTCGACCTTTTCCCACAGTGAGATGCGTATCGTCTGCGTGTCGCCATCGATAGACTTGAGAACCTTTTGTCTTTTGACTTCCATAAAGCGAGCAGCCATCTTTTGCTTTCCATGCTCTAGAATAAGAGATCGAATAGAACCAATGACCAAACCAACTGTGACTAGGCCACCAATTGCATATGGAATAAGGAGTGAGCGACCAGTATGCGTTTTAGGCACAAACTCCCCGCCGAAACCTATTGTGAGAAGGGTAAAGTTGGCCCAGAACACGGCATCCAGGAACATCCAGCCTTCGACGTATGAGAATATCAGAGCGCCGATAAGCAGGTAGACCATAAAGGCGATTGTCTGTAGCATCAGCGTCCTCTGACTGGCCGTCAGCCGGAAGTCTCTAGCGTAATGCCCCTTCCACGCTCCGAAAGCAGTAAAGGCCATTAGCGAAGCGATAATGAAGTAGATACCCGCAGCGATGATAGCGTAGTAATACGCTTGGCTGAGAGCATGTTCTTTCATAGGCTGAATCCGGAACACAGATGACGAAGCGACCCCCACGAGCGCCATCAAAAGGAAACCAGCAAGATAGAAGCCGATGATAGTGATAGGTTGCGCAATCTCAAACGTCAGTCTTCTTGACATGTTGAGCAGCAAACTGATGTTTGCACTCAACGCAAAGACGAGCGAGACTGAATTGACCGCGATAAGCCATTTCGGATCCGTAATCTTCGAGCCGTGTCCCTCGTCGCTTCCCGGCGGGATGTATACTCTCCACTTTTCAACGAGGGCGCAGATGGAGAAGCCGTTGGCGATGGGGCCGAATGTTCCTGCTATGAGGGGACTCGCTGTGGAGGCAAACCACCATTGACTGAGTTTGTCAGCGTACGTAAAGCGATGTCGAGGCACTGGGCGACATAACTTGGATCGAGATATTCCCGCTCTTCCTGCTCCGCTTGTTCGTCTTCGTCGTGGACTGTGTCATTAACATCTTGCGCTGCCGCGCCTGCTGGCTCGTCGAGGCCGGGGTCGTTCATTGCCAGTCAATTGGTAATGTGGTGAAGACTGCAGTAGACAACAACGAGTCTGGGTGCATGTTGTACAAAGAAGAAAATGGAATCTGGAGATCTGGAGATCTCCTGCAGGTATGTGCACGAGGGGCGTGCATGTGAGATAACCAAGATGCGCGGGTTGTCGCGTGGACAACGCCAGGGAAGTCAGGGAGTGATGACGTATGTCTCGCTAACTTTAACAAGCCACCAATTCGGGGTGGCTTCAAGCACAACGTCAGAGAAAATCAGACGTAGGATTGTTACAATGGACGGTAGAATCTTTTGGTATGATGTACTGTGAGAACACCATGTCGGCCCGAAATTGATAGGGTAACGACTTTGTAGAAGCTCGCCTAAACTACATGCGTGACAGCCTCGCGTTTAGCGGCTGACTCGGCTACATGTTTAGCTCTCTAGGCATTCGTATGTGTGTGATGCCCAACGTCTTTTTGTGGAACTATGCTGCAGATCTTATGCAGCAATCCACAAGCGTTAGATAATGAGCTCGCCTTCGAGCTTGACATTGCTCGCCAGCCCATTGCACGCCACACAAGTAGAAGCTTACTGTGTCGACGGGATACATGTCAGAAGGAGAAGCAGAAGGCATAGCCCCTAGGAATGTTGGAAGAATGTATCCAAGGAACAGTGGATGTAGACTTGAGCAAGTGACAACACAGGGGACTATATGCCTATATATACATGCGGGCACTGTGACTTGGCCTAGCATATCAGAAGATCGAGGGGCGTGCTTTACAGCGATACTTCTTACGGGCTTCACTAAGGACAGTCTGTCGAGCTCGAGGACATTTTACCTTCTCCAATTGCCATACTATGACTCGGGCAGCTAATAAGCGGGCTGGCTGTTTGCTGTATCTCCGCCTTGACATCTCAATTGTTTG